GGTTCTGCAAGATCACCTGTCTTTAGTTTGAATGTAAATATTCGTCCTCACTTGGCTCCTGGAGAGAGTTACACCTCTAAGATCAGGCTTCACATTTTCCTTTCTGATCAGCTTTATGAAGTTAGGGCTGGATCAGGTGACCCCGAACAATCAGCCTCGACTATACTTTTCACGTCCACGAGGACACAAGTGCAAAAAATTTTGGTATCAGACGGTGATGGTTGATTTTTTGTGATCGTGAAGACTCGTCCACAGAGAATTTGCATTACAATGCACCAACTACCATGCACCCCAGGCAGCGGCACAACAGGAATAATTACTCAGCCGTTGTGCTTCCAGCTGTCCGTGTCGGCAACTGAATACAAACCAAGGCTGAAGTCTGTCTTTATTAATCACATCTTCTTCTTTCTTCTTCTACCATCAAATTTCAGGAAGAGGATGCTGAAATAATGATACACCCTTTTCTTAATGGCTAGCAGAGGGCGACTCATCTGGTCGCAGATTTGCAGAGGTCCATGGGAAAACGGCCTGCTCCCTTGCTGTGACCTCAGTAAACTCTTTCCTGTTGATAGGCTCAATCCAAACAAGATGGCGGCGGGGCAAACGCTCAGCTCAGGGCTTCATAACAGGATTTATGATGCTGCAGTCGCGACGCCCGTCTTCAGTAATGTTTACACTGAAATCTTAGTCGTCCGAGAGCGACTCTTTAATGAAGCGTTTAAATATTTGCTGAGTGACTTTTTTGAAAACATTATTGTATCTGCTGCAATGAACAGACGACTGGCTGTTCTCTCTTCTGTGGTTTGCTTTGCCTTCCATCAAAAGGTGGAGGCAGATGGCTGCTTCTCCCTGAGAATGGTATCTTCCTGTTAAATGGGTGTTCATTCTCCCCACTGTCGCCATGTGCAGTTCACAGGAGATCCTCTGATTGTTGGGGTTCTGGGGGTGTTTACCCTAACATGAACTGGTGCTATATGAATAAAAGTGAACTGGAAAGCGTATTATAGTAACTCCAAGTGTGGTAAACATGTCCCCTGTTGTGTAACACTTCTGTAATGTGTGTCAGTGTGACACAATTCAAACAGCTGCTAAACAAACAGCACGCACAGGTCTACGAGAGCGGCTGAAAGCAGGTTATAAGCACAGAGCGGTGAATGCAGCGTTTCTTGCATCTCTGCTTCTCTGTAAATGGAAAGATTATGCAACGAGCCGGACTCCGGGCTCCTCCCTGCCCGGCTCTGGGGGGCTGTCTCTCGACCTCATATTTCAACATAAATCGCTGAACACGTGTGTTGGGATAATGTGTCAGCACATGTTGTTTTTCCTTTCAGCAAACACAGACCAGTGAGGTGATCCGGCCGTGTAAACGGAGGCCTAGCTGGCTGCGAGCTAGCCGGACAGTGACCCAGATGGCCCTTTAACACCTCTCGGCCCGGAGGCTGCTGCCTCACACAGTAAAAACGGGATTTTCACCTTTGATTCGCGACTAAAGAAATACTCGGTTAGCCTACCCACCCTAGCTCCCGGACACTTGTAGCAGCTACAGTAACACAGCACCGACACCCTTTCACTGCACTTTAAATACAAAGAGCTGAGCTAGGCGGCTAACGGGCTAGCAGCTCAGCGGCTGTTTGCAGGCACTTAAGCCAGCTAAATAACACCATCCCCGGGGCTTTCTTACCAAATGTCCTCCTTTGTTTGAAGGGTCTGTCGGACGGCATCTCGGTCCCGGTTATTAAACAGTTATACACAAATGAATAACGCAGTAGTTACAGCCAACAGCGCAGGTCCGTCTCTTCGGTTCGAGTCTCTGGTTCGTCTGAAGCCAAAACAGCTCCGGACAAACAAAGACAGTAAACCGAGCCTCTGACGTCACCCGCTGCATTTAAAGGGGCCGTGCATCGATCCCTGAACCCAGAGAGCAGCTTTGCATTCACGTTAACAGAAGTGCAAAGTTTAACTAGTTATACAAACCAGCCCGTGATTCACACGGTGCTTTAGAGTTTAACGCGACACAGCAGTGTTTTCATTTTGTACTGAGAGGAAATGACGAAAGGTTCGTGAATCAGCTGTAATGTCAGGCTGTGTTTTGCTTCAGCAGGGGCGTTCCTAGGTTTGTTTTAGAGGAGGTGGGGGGATGGGGTGTCTCAGTGATCTCTGATGGTTTTGTTTGTGTTCATAGACATTTTCATATACTTTTCATCAGCTGTGTTGATTTTATCCATTATCCTCCATCTACACTCAACAAAAATATAAACGCAACACCTTTGTTACTGCTCCTATTCCCCATGGGATGGACGTACAGACCTAAAATTCATTCCAGATACACAATATAACCATCCCTCCCAAACAGTGGTC